AGAGACAGGTATAGTGTTACAATTCAGATATAGCATGAAATGTATCTTTTCCATGAGTCCCCATAGAGGCATAAAGCACTAGTTATTCTTGGACCATGGACAATAGGATTGAGATCGGACCAAAACACGTGTAAAAACAGAAATGATGCTGATGCATCTTCTTGACTTGTTTAAGTACTCATTTGAGATAAAAGGAGCATCAGAACTCTTATAGTGTTACAATTCAGATATAGCATGAAATGTATCTTTTCCATGAGTCCCCATAGAGGCATAAAGCACTAGTTATTCTTGGACCATGGACAATAGGATTGAGATCGGACCAAAACACGTGTAAAAACAGAAATGATGCTGATGCATCTTCTTGACTTGTTTAAGTACTCATTTGAGATAAAAGGAGCATCAGAACTCTTAGCAATGGGTGCCCAAAATCTTCGCTCCCTGTTCCCAGCAGAGCACTTTGCTCCCAGGAACTGTTTAATGCAAAATAAATAAACAATTTCTCCAGCAGGAAGCTGACACTGATATATCTGTCTCCCAACAGAAACTCCTCCTCACTAGCACACTCAGGCAACTATTTTTGCAGATTCTTTTCCTGGCCTCACAAATTTCAGGGGCTCAGATCCAATTCATCTAAACTCCTGAGAAATGAAAGTTTAAACCAGCAGAAAACACAGATACAAGAATCAAATGCTCCTACCCAAAAGGCCTACTAAGGAATAGCACAAGTATCACCTGGGTCCTTTATAGCTCCTGTGGTTGCTCTACCAAAGAATGTATATGCTCTCATTAATCAGTGAGATCAGGTAAGGATCTCATTTAGATGCTTGAAACTACCACCTCTTTTCTTTATGTAAGGAACCAAGGTGACTGCCTTGGTAGTCCTTTGTAAACCTGTTGGGTTATGCCTTCCAAAGTGCAGGGTCCAAAAGCTGCCCTTGTTCTCTGCCACAGCAGTGCAGTTTGGAGAAGGTAGCATGGCTAGAAGAAGGAATTCTGCTCATAGGTGACCATTCACTTGGGGCACAGGGTTACTTTACAGGCAGCTGCTGCATTTTATCTCTGCCTCTACTGTGCTCCAGTCCAGGGCTCTGACCTTCCTGACAGAGCAGTTTGGGTAGGGTTTCTGCAAACCAGGGACTGTAAAGGGCAAGCAACAGAAATCTGCATTCTTCCATTTTCCCCATTCTAATTCTGCTTACTTTCACTATGGTTGAGTGCCATAAACTTCAAACCCAGGAAAATCTGCATATGCACAGTAATTACTTTTTCAGACTGTTTTACCAAATCAAGGATTTAACCGCACTGAAACACTTGATAAGAAACAATTCCATTGATACTTGCTATTGAACCTAAATGACTGACCAGATGGAGCAGAACATAACACAGCAGACTGTCTAATATACTTTAGCTGAGATAATACATCTCGACTGAAAAAACATAATGTTTCACTCACTGACATGGAGATTGTTATATTACAGTGTGATGGAAATATCTATTGCACACTCTTCCATAAGTCTTTGTGCATGCCTGTGCAATTTTTTCCTTCTTCTATCCCTCTAATAACGTTTATATCTCTAATATCCCTTTAAGACCACTGTAATAAACCAAAACTGAACAATTAAAAAAAAAGCCTGTTAAACTACCATTAAGGGAATAAGTTAAACCTGCAAAATTAAGGAAATTCAACTTTAAAGCTGAAATGCACCATATGTCCTCCAGTGTGCACACATGAGAAGATGTGTTCAAGTATTTTTTTAACCAGCGTGCCGTGATGAAATAAGATACTGGAGAACATGGGATTCATACAGCATTGTCTTAGTCTTGCTTAACTTTTGTTTACTTAAAGCAACTATGAAGAATGTATTTGCATCTACAGAGATGCTTGCCTTTTATTCCCATTAATAAGAGCTATAGAAGCCTAATGAGATTACAGCACAGAGATGTTTGCCTTTTATTCCCATTAATACGAGCTATAGAAGCCTAATGAGATTACAGCATACCTCTAAATGTTAAAGACCTTTATTTGATAATAAGTCACATGCATAAGTCCATATGTGCATATTAAGTATGCTATTTACAGCACTTGTTAGAGGAGATGATATATGACTTGGAAACCTAGAGAACATCAGAGAAAAGTTTTTGTTTATGATTTAATATGGGCAGAGAGAATCTGCAGGAAACTCCAGAAGATCCTGTTCATATTTCCCTCCCAAAAGTGCACATGATTTATGTTGTATCATAAGCTTTAAGCATAGTTCATTGCTTTGCCAGGTAAAAACAAGAAAGAATAGCCCAGACAACTCCCTCAGGCCCAACATGTTTTGGTTTATCTAAAGTTCCTTCATTGTAATCTTGCTCTTTCTTCTTTGCAATAAAAACATTTGAATAGGGAGATGTGGCAGAAAATCTCTAACTGAGAAGCAATAAAAGTATCAAATTAAAATCCTAAAGCATTAGAATACCAAAACTTGAGAAAACAGGACCAGGATATACCTTACACATGTAAGGGTCAATAAAGGGACACCTCATCCTCCCAAACATTAATTGACACTAAGGATTTCTTGTCTCACAAAGGCTTCTTCCAAAACTTTTCTTCTTTGCCCTTCCTCGTTCTTAATCCCTTACTTCATAAGGAACTAAAGCACATATTATTAGATGTATTAGTTTTCACTAGGGTTTTTTTTGGCTTCCTCCCCCAACAGTTGTTTACTTTCCCTGCCCTTGGTGCTGCTGAAGAGGTACCACCACATAGTGCTGCTGTTCCTATTTTCCCTACCACTTTTTGTCTGCATGTTGGTGGTGCATAGCTAGTTCTCCAAGACCCAGGTCATGCTTTATGTGAAGCTAAGAGAAGAAATCCAGGAGCATTTTAAAGCTGGGTTCTGCCATGGGCTTGTCAGAGGCTTTACTGCTTGCCTCAACATTGGTGGCTGACTGGGAACAAGCCCCATACCCATGTTGCCTTCTATGCCAAGTGACTTCTCTTCCAGTAGAAAGCCATGAAGACTTTTATCCTTAGAGCTGGAGGCTAAGTTTCATTTTGAAAGTGCAATGTGAATGGTTGGACAGAGTTTTAGAAGTAGAAATGCTGCGAATGGAAAAAGCCATCAAAGCTTAAGATTCTGACGGAGTAATAATAAGAAAAATTTTCTTTAGATTTAGTAAAGATGAGTAAGTATCACCTATGGGTCAGTATGAATGACAAAAGAAAAATTAATGAAAGCTGGAACAAGAAAAGAAAGAACACTGCACAAGATTATCAAGTGCTGCTGTGTGGCTAACTGAGGGCTGAATAGTTCATCCACACTCCATAGCGACTGCTAGGAAAATAATGATAGATCAGTAAACCTCAAGATTTACATAATCCATTTGATACATTTTCAGCAACTCATACAGCAAAATTAGAGTACCTGGGATCAAGGTCATCCAGATGAGCAGCAACAAAAAAAAAGTCCAAACTAAATATACAACATACATTGAATCCTTCATTAGTGGAAAAGCACTCCATTATAGGTTGACTCTGGTTTTAGATTTTAGAGAAGCCAAGCAGTCATTTATGAAACCACCTTTCTCCTGCCTTCCTGCTTTGGAGCAATTTATTTTCTTTGAAACTATGTGTTTCTTTCCGCTGCAGTGGCCTCACAGCGCATTTATCTTCTTACATCTCTAAGCTCTCTGGGACTGGGACTCTTGATACTTGTCTCATGGAGGCTGTCAGCATTTAGAAATGAAAAGTAGTAATGTTAATAGTAATTTTCTACTTAGGTATAAAACCTGATTTTGTTATACCTCCCAGCACAGCGAGTGCATGCAGGAAGTGAGCTGCAGGGAGGATGTGACTGTAAGTCAGTATCATGGCCAGAGCAGCAGAGCAGCAGAAATCCACAATACCAAACTGCTCATCAGACAGTTTAACCACAGCTCTGGTGCACCATGTCAATGAGGAATCACAAACTGCTGACTTCAGAAGTGGAATGTGTTATTTCTGACGCCATGCGTTGAGAAGTATTTGCTGCATGGCCTAATGAGCTGCTGCAGTAAGAGCCTGCACAACTCAGAAATTTCCTGGGGTGTATCAGAAGAATAAAGGTGTCCTCAAACTTACTGGCAAATCACTGTGGTCTGCCTTGGTTGGGGACTGGATCCCAGTTTCTGTAAAGCACTAAGCAGACTGTCCTGTCCTGTAGTGCTCCTCAAGTTTTACGATGAATGTGTCTCCACTATGATCTGATTAGTGTTATACAGTTAAGCAAGTTTTGGTGGCAGATCATCCTTATGTTCAATGAGGACCCATTCTAAAACAAAATGGGGACCCAGCGAAATAAATCAAGATCGAACTAAACTATGCTAACATTTGCTTAGTTAGCAAAGGAATCACAATCAAAAGTATGAATGAATGAATGAATGAATGAATGAACAAATGACAGACAAAAGTATTTCCTCTAAATGGAAAATATTTTGTGGGATCAGCCCATATTTTTCAAAAATGACTATTCAAAATTAAGACCTCAATCCACAAAAAAAGCACCGAATCTCTGGTAACTGGAGAGGGGAAAAGAAGAAAAGGAAGAGAAGAATATCACAGTGACTTTTGAAGTCAAGCCACCTGTATATAGCTGTAAGCCCAGACAGGAATTCAGGAGTCCATACAGCAGAATGCTAGCCCAGGCTTCTAGCTGATCTGAAGCTACTGCAGTGAAGGTGGTGTGTGCAAGACTGAACAGACAGCTGTTTAAACATGCCTGTGCCACATAGCACGAGCATAGGCTTCTAAAACAAGCCTCCTCAGCATTCTGTCAATATGTCTTCACTTCTGCTAAAATACAAGCTGCCTGCACAATCAGAGGGCATTGCTTCACATATGGTTTTGGCACACTAAAATCTGTGATTTTTTCCTCATTTCTTTTTCTTAGGTTTCCCATGCCTCTTGTCACATGGAGACTAATTTCACATATTGATTCAACAATACCTGATGACTTTTAGCTCAGTCATAACTTCTGTTCCCTTTCCACTGTGCATTCTTTCTACAACCAGCACAGTGCTTCTTATGAAGAAAAGTCACCTGCCCTGTGTAACAACTGAGGCATTAGTACTGCCCAATCTTTGGGCCACTCTTTTAACAGTATCTGGAGGTATGTGGCCATAAATCAGTTCTGGCAGCACAAAAAATGGGCTAGAAAGAAAATAAAAAAATCCCCAATACAGAGAGCAAAGAAATCTAAATTTATGGGACTGTAGAAAGAGCTCAAGGAAAGAGAGAGGAGATTCTTGCGGCTGAACGATAAATGAGTTGAGTTGAATCCCTCAAGAAAGGAAAGAGTAACACAGAAGAGACCCATAAACCAAAAGGAATAAGAAAAGGAGCAAAGGATACTAGAAATAACACAAATTTTATCACTGACTTCATGAGATCAGGACTTCCCTTTCTCTGCTGCCCCATAATCCCTACTTATTTGCATAGGGTATAAACTAGCACAATCCAATACAGATTTTAAAAGTAAAGTGCTGGTAGACTTTGGATATAGGACTGAATAGGATTTAATCTACATCTCCTGCAGCTCCTACACAGATGACTGGATTTTACAATTTTTGCCATGTTCTGTTTATTGATATTTATTTTTAGGTTTTAGTTTTGATTTAGTTTTGCTTTTATGTTTACTAATAAATATTTTCATTAATTAAGTTAATTATCATGACAGCACTCACTTTAGAAAGAAAACAAATTCAACCTTGGTTTTGAAATGTCTAACATTATTAATATAGGAAGCTATGATGCAGCATATCTGGAGCTTTTTAAATTTCTTTTCTTTCCGTTTTCCTTTTCTCTTGATTAGCTACTTGCTAAATATTTGTTTGTTTTAAACTAAATCAAATTTTCTACCTCCTCAGCAGGATTCATGTATATTTATATGGGTAAGGTACAGTAATTGAGAAGTAGCAAGATACACCCATGACAGAGGTCTACTTGAATCTCTAATTTGTGCTCGATCTAAGAGAGAACAGGCAGCGTAAGTTACAAGTGCTGGAAGGTAGTGTTCACCTCTGAGCAGATGGAAACCAGATATTTTAAAACCAGCTGCAACAATTGACTTAAATATAGCCCTGTCTGAAATCAAGCAAAATTATTCCATTGCCTTCACTGAGTTTCAGAGCAGCACAGCAGAGCATGTTATGGCTCTAAATCTCGTGCTTTACAAAATACAATTATCACCCACACTTTGCAGATAGGGTACCTAAGCAGGGAAAAGCGAAATGGTTTGCTGAAGCTCACAAACAACAGTAGCAGAGACAAAAATCAGACCATAAAAGTATCTTCTCCCTCCCAGAAGTTCTTGTTCTTGTAGACTATGCCAGTCTCTGTCAATCTCTACACACTCCCAGTTCTACAGGTGTATTAGCAGAAATGCTGCCAAGCACATGACAAATCACCTTTTGCTACAAAGTCCACTAAAGGCACTGGGAAAAAGACCTATTCATTTTGGTGAGCTCCAGACAGAGCACTAAGGGAAAATCTGGAAACAAAGATTAAGATGAGCCACCACATGGGCTTAGCAACTACAAGAGGAGTCCAGATTTACAGCAGCTCCCAATTTAATTTATCCAAACGCAATTGCCAATGGGGAACTAAAAAAGGGCAAGAGCCACCTGTCCATTTAATAGCCATTCTCCTGTCCTACTGCTACAACAGCCAAGAGACTCATTTATCCCCACATGGGTATTTCCTTCGCCTCAGGTTGTTTCATAGAGAACATTGATGAACAAAATAATTAAATAATGCATATTCATTACGAAAGGGCCAGTGTTAAGTGACATTTTTAAATTGCATCGTGTCTTCAGACTATTTATTTTGCTAAAAATAACTTTAAAATTAACCGAGTCATAGACGGTGAAAAAAATATAATTAAAGTCATGTCTTTGGATCCCAGTTTTGAATTCTGTTGTCTGCACCCTCTGTATAGACAGTTACAGCCACTAGGACAGTTCAGCAACTGGTATGTAAGTTGACTTCTTATACTGTGTATGTCTGGTAGGTGTTACATAGCATAAAAGGCAGGTTCACTGATAGATCTGTAAAAGAAATAGACTAGTTCACTTCTACTTGTCTGTTGTCTGTGATGAAACCTTTTTCTAGTAAGCTCTCCGTATCTGTTCACTGTGAAAAGCTTTGACAGTTACAATGTATAGAACATGAAAAAATTAGTATTGTGACAACAAAACAGAAACTGTTAAGAAAACACATATTTGCTTAAAATTAGAAATACTAAGAATCACACATAAGCAGATTTCTGTTTTTTTATAAAAAAGAAAGAAAATAAAGCCTGAATTCTAGCATTAGAATCTATGAAAGAAACAGCAATCTATTTTAATGTTAGAGTTATCTTCACAGTGCTTACAATTGCTTTCTGCCTCTGTCTCTCCCTTTGTTTGGCCCTTTCAGATTCCCGTTTTTCATACTCTTTGCGGTATTCTTCCCTCTTCAGCCTTTCATGCTGATATTCGTCATAGCTGTCATATCTAGGAAACATAACTTAGTCATTAAATCAAGCACCTGCATTTGTGAATGTAAAATTAGAAATACAATTTCTGGAATGCTTCGTTATCCTAGGCAATTAGCAACAGGACAAGAAGAAATGTCCTCGAGCTGCACCAGGGACAGTTCAGGTTGGACAACAGGAAGAATTTCTTCACTGAAAGGGTGGTTAGGCATTGGAATAGTCTGCCCTGGGAAGTGGTGGAGTCACCATTCATGAAAGTGTTCAAGAAACAACTGGACTTAGTGCTATGGCATAGTTGATATGGTGGTGTTCAGTCAAAGGTTGAACTCAGTGATCTCAGAAGTCTTTTCCAGCCACGATTCTATGATTCTATTATTATCTCTTGACAACCAGCTGCAAAGCAAACCAAATGCAGGCCAAAGGCACTACCTGGGTCTGCGACTGTACGGTGATCTGGACCGTGATCTTGCACGTAAGGGAGAACTTCTATATGCTCGGTGTCTACAGTGGCTGGACTCATAATAGCAACAAGATCTGCAGGAAGAAACACATTCACCTCTGTCATTCCATCTGAGTCTATTGACACCATTGTCTACCACTTCCCTGACCTTACAATTTCTTCTAAGCTACCAGTGGGATTTTCCAGTGACAGTTTGTGATCTCCTAGTCAACTAAGGGGCCTCAAGTGACAACCCTGCCTCAGCCCTTCTGTAATGTTCCTTATTGAGGCTAACACAGAGCAGACAGTCAGCCACTGTCAACTTAGATCTGATAGAGGCTGCAGCTAGATTGGCACCAGGCAGCTCACAGATAATGGAAAAGGTTAGTTGTGTGCATCTCTCACCAATTGCTCTGCTTCTGACCTGACTGGCTCCACTCAGAAAGTGTAAACCTGGCAAATTTAAAGGATATTAGCAACAAGTGTTTCTGTAGCAAACCTGTAACCTTCAGAGTTAATCAGCTCAGGACCAATAGAACAAGTTGCATTGCATTAAGTTATTTCTTGCTTTTTTTTTCTTTCTTTCCTTTAGGTTCCTTTACATTTTTGCTGTTCTTCTTATTAACTACAATGATCATACATGAATTTGCTGTACCATACCTTGAAGAGGATCTACTACAGGGCGACCTTGATCTCGATCGGGAATATGGAGAACGGGAACAAGACCTGCGTTGAGGAAAGGACCTTGATCTAGAGTGTGTCCTTTGGGATCTTTGAGAAAATAAGGATTTGGGTGGAGACACTGAATCTCTGCATGGAGAGTTAAAAGAAGAGCAAGAAGGTGATACATCAAATAATGAATAGGCTTGTGTCCCATCCCAAGGGTAGCATAGTTTATCACTTTCATCTTCACTGTCATCAAACAGACCATCCATTGCTAGTCCTGAATTTATAAACATAGGTAGTTTGGAGAATTGTTCATTACTGTAATCACTGTCCCTTAGTTCTCTGGTCTTATCTGCTTCTTCATCAAAAACAGCTTGGCTGGGGTGACCAAAATGCTTATTCAGTTCAGCCCGAATTTCCTGGTCTTGGAGCTGTTTTCTGTTAATACCATGGGATCCCTGCTTACTTGTCTGTAAAGTCTCTTTCTTGAAATACTGGTCTTGTTCTAAAGAAGAACAAATCTGACACTGCCACCCAGGTGAAGAATCCTTAAATTCTAGTTGTCTGGAGTCCTGAAGTTCCTGGGATATTTTAATGTGTATTTCCGATTTTGAATTCACAGATTGACAGTAGTCATGGTCACCAAACAGCCGCAAACTGGGCCGTTTTGTCTTTCTCTCCTCATGTCCACTGGACAGTACTGAAGTCTTGCTAAGCTGTGCGTACAGCTCAGTCTGTTCTGGACCCTTCTTTATTGGGTTATTTCCTTGAGAACCAGAAGACTCACTATAGCGGGGCTTTTTTGAAGGTGGTACAACAGTCTTGCATGATGACTTCGGCTTAGGTGAAGTCCTAAAAGGATTATCTTGGTTGGCTTTATGAGGAGGGGTCGTAGGTGGAGTTAGGCCTATGGGGAATAAAAGGAAGAACAGAATATTTTTAAGCACACACACAACATTTATAAAGGTGTCTTATGTGCTTCTTAAAATAGATACAAAGCAAAGCCGATTCTTTTTCACTCTAACACTACTAATACTAGGAATAAAAGTATTTAGAGTGTGAGAAACCAAAGGTCTGGTAACAACAATAGCAACAGTACTAATGCATCACCATTAATCTTCAGCATCATTTCTGCCCCTCCCCTTCATCCATGACATCCGCCCCCCTCTCTGTAGATTTTGATAGAAAAGATCAAGAGACAAAATCCAAAAGAGGTTTTTTGTTAAATATATAAAAGATTTTGATGTAAAAATGAAAAGTCAAAAGACTGGCACCATCAAAAACTTAAAGAACTTAACAGACAAAAACCTGGATAAAAGCAAGCCCAAGAGAAATAAATGAGTGCTACCAAAGGACGCAGAACTTGAATGCAAGGAAATACAGTCACTCGACAACTCAACGGCAATGACTCTTTGTCTCCACAGTTCATTAACTTAGAAAACCATTGCTAATGTATGTATAATACATTCTAGTAAGCATAACTAATACATTTTGCCTGAAATGTGGTTCTGCAACTGAAACCCAAATGAACAATAGGACAACTGCAACAGTAATGAACCATTGCATTTAGAGCTAAATATTAGTGAGAGTCATGCAGCAGGGAGTCAAAATTAAACAGATGAGTATTCAAAGATACTGCTAACTACCAGGATTCTTTACATAACTGTAATAGATTATATCACTGTGGTGAGACAAAATTGCAGGAAGGACTACAGGCTGTTCCAGTAAAGCCTTGGAACTGAAGCAGTATCCTTCAGTTCTCTTTATAAGGGTAGACTATAACACCCAATATTTTTTGTAGAAATCACAGAATTTCCTCATACTTTACAAAAGGATTACCCCGGACACCAGGGCAGAGTAACAGCAAACAGCAGACACTGTTCAGGAAAGAATTCCTCTTCAGGAAGGTACTTAGCAATGAGCCCAAGCAATGAGCTTTCCATTACTTCCTTAGCAAGAATGAAAATAGAGGGCAGACACAGTTACAGGAAATGTGTGTTTCAAACATGGTTATAAAGCTTTGTTTTGTATTTTTAAGCATGCAACAGGGCTCACCAGATCAATGTAAATGGAACATGTTTTATAGTGTTTTGCTGTAAAGAAGGAACAGCGTCCATCAATGCGTAGTGCTCCCTAAGGAGTGTAAATGGAGATTGGGAGTCCCATTGCATTAGCTGCAATGAATTTGTTCCAGAAAATAAGAAGATAGGAGTACCAAGGCATAAATACTTGATGTGAGAGAGAAGCTTGATTTTGTCTGAATGTTTGGAAAAAATGGTTATGAGCTACCCATGGCTATGCGAAGATTTTGCCTAATGCCACAAAAGTCAGGGAAACTAAGGCAGGGATTGTGACACCTAAAACTCTAGTTACCCTAAATTTGAATTTAATAGTGAAAAAAAATTGTACAGTCATCACTGTTAACCTATTTCTGCTGAGTCCTCATTTTTTTTCTTTCTTCCCAAAACCACACTTGAGCCAGCAGTATGCATTTCACACTTTAGCCACCTCCTCAGTGACAAACATTTTTGACTACCAAATGATTTTTGGTAAAATGAAGAGAACAGCCCTCTTCAAAATTATGCAGTAATCATTTCCAGGTTAAAACTTCAGTCTCAGATTGAACAAATGCTCCAGCAAGCAACTTTCTAGGTAAAAATATTTATAACTGACTTTTACTCACAAAATTATACAGCCCATGAGAAGCTCTGGGGTTCGTTACTAGCTTTTTTGGCTGCAGGTTTAAAGAAAGAATGATGCAAAAATACAGCCACTCCACAATGAACAGGCATATTTAAGAATTTCAGGCAAAGAAACCCTAGGATAATCCAATATTCAAAATAAAATAGTGTTTCAAATTCCATTTTTTTAAAGCTTGCCTAAGCAGCAAGCAAACAAAACACAGTACAACAATTTTCAGAAGCCTGACAAGTAGTCCGACAATCTTTATAGAAAGGGGAAAGAAAAAAACCCAAACCTACCAAAAATAAAAGCTCACAAAAGCACAGACTGAGCTAAATTTGCTGGCACTTCTCTTGGTGGCAGAACTGGGCTGGGGACAGCCTAAGAAAGGGCTTCCTCGTGGCACTCTGGCTTTTTTCCTGGTTTTCAGCAGAAGCAGGAAGTGCACAGGCAAGTAGAAACAGATAAAAGTTGGAAAATGTTCATTTAACTTCTGAACAAACCTCCACTGGGGGATGGAGGAAGGAGTGAAGTTTTGAATTCATGTCACCACTACGCAGTCCACCTCCAGCGTGTCCCATGACCAATCTCCAAACAGTGCATTCCAAGACAACCAGTCAGCTGCAAACTTGTTCATCTTCACTCTAATCCCTGGTAAATCTTCACCGAGGGCCATGATCCCACATCAATGGCATTAAAATATTCTATAACCATTGGATGATTTCACACGCGCCGATTTCTCCCCCAGTGTGTACATTTGAGCGTTGACAGTACAAGGTATATTCTGTGCTCTCTCTTGAACTTACCAGGTTTTGACAGATTTATGGAAGGACAGATGGCCATTACGGGCTGAAGGCTGACAAGAGGCAGTTCAGAGCATTGTTAACACACTTGCACAAACTCTCAGCAGTGCAGCGCTGTGCAGAATGTAATTCAGACTATAGCTTTTTTATTGCTGCCTATTTTCTTTTGTCAAAAGAGCCTGCTGTGCACAGCAACAAATGGCTGCCATTACCCAGAATGTAATGGGTGTCAGACAAATCACGTAACACAAACAATCAAGAGTATGTAGGTCATATTTCAACAGAGCACAACCTTAGCAATATTTATGATTACTGCATTGAAATGTGCTCTATAATAAACAAGTACCTCTACATCACTCACACTTATGTACTTCTGCGCAGCAAATCTGTTAGAAGTGGTACATACTCTACAATCATCCCCCCTTACACAGTCTTTTTTCTTTTTAAAGTAAAAGGCAAGTATTTTTTCGTGACATGCTGTAAAACCATTTTCTTTGTAGGGACTTTAATTGAATAGCTTTGGTAAATGGTACGTTTGCACTTTGCCTTGCTCTTGTCTATATTCTACAAACTCACTCGGTGATCTTGCGCTAGAAAACAGCATACATCAAATTGCCAGCACTGCTGCCAAAGCAGCACTATCCTCCCTGTCTCTGTGCAACAAAAGGTGTTTGCATGTGTGCCAAATCTACCACCTTAGCCGAGTGATTTCTTTCCAGAAAGTCGCTGGGACAGTGAAACTACTTTCGATACATTCCAAAACTCCACTACAAAAAACCTCTCAGTAACTCATTTAGCTCAGCTAGGTTTGATAAGCAGCAATTAGGGGACTGCCTTTGCATAAAACGTGACATCTTGACATCTTAGGACTGATTTGCAATGGTGTTTTACATAGACACGGATATTTCTGAACCTCTGCTGTAATTTAGCATTCAAATGTTTGATGACGTTTGTTGTGCTTTGAGGGGGTTGAGAATTAGTGTCTTTTGGGGAACGCAGCCCTGGAACCTTTCTACACGTGCACTGGGCTTTTGAGAGGCATTGAAAATGAATTCTTTCATACCTTTTAAGTTTGAAAATGGATTGTCAAGGGAAACGTTATTTAAGGCCACTTAAAACACTGAACACAAGATAACAGCTCAATTCAGTAGAAGAAGAGCTTTTGTGTAGCACAAGATTGCAGAAGCCAGAAAAATAAAATTAAGTAGTCATCATATAATAAAAAACTACATGCTTGTTGAGTATTCAGTTTAATCCTGTTGTCAGTGCTGCAGAGGATAAACACAGATGCCTGAAAATATCAAATAATTTACTAGATTTTATTCCCTCTGGACAACTCCCTACATCTCACATCTCATTTTATCAGAAATCATTCTGAGGTCAATGAATTCTTAGATGACAGATTTTAAGTATTTGTTCTGACACATAAGAGGTAACACAAATCTAGAGGTGGGCAAATAGCAGGGTATAAGTATCCTCTAGAATGCTCATGATTTCCAATTCACTATTCAAGTTGTGAACATACAGCCTTTTCTGTCATCTCTTTGGAGAAATCAAATTTTGCACCTAACACATGTGAGGAGTTTCATACTCAGATAAATCACAGGGATCTGTGCACAAATGAGAGACCTTCCACTAAGAGGTGGAAATAGCCTTCCAGTTACTGACTGAGTTCTAAGCGTGTAAACCCACCTCATGCACTTAACTGGTGGCTTTGAGTATTTAGGAGCAAAGGTTTGAGAAGACACTGAGAGAACAGAGAGAGATTAATTAGGAACCATGCCATCTAACATCTGGCATCGGCACAAAGTCTAAGACAATCAAAAGTCTGATTTGCAATGGTGCAATTATTGAGGAGGAGCCCTTAATTTCTAAGAGAAACACAGCCACCCCCAGAGGGTGAATCATCCACCTAGTCCCTGTGCTTGCAGGTGCCCCCTCAACCTGACTGGAAACAAGAAGGAAAGAGGTGACACAGAATCATCCCACATTCCTGGAAGACATCAGAGAGGTTCAAGCCTCTTAGCAAGGTGCTGGCAATGCAGCTAGCTGTGGAAACAAAGGAAGAAGGACCTCTTCTGAACCTCTTACTCAGAATGAGACTCACCTGACACAGGAATTTCATTCACTACATTATCATCACCTGGGACTCCCTTCATATCATGATGTTCTGGTCCATATTCCTTAGAATAACACTAGAAATCAGCTTCAGGAGTTGGGATTTTATATGACAACAGACTTATTCCTCTATCACAGGCCACTGACTTAATGCCTATTCAAAGAATTCTTATGTGTGTCATGAAAACACTGTAAAAAATATTAGTTCCTTGTAATTTGACAAACCCACGTTTTAACAGTTTAGGGGAGGACAAAGTTGCATTTGTGACTACTAACAAATCTGTTGTGAAGCAAGATACAGCACTGGCAAGAGAATGGTTTCAGTTTGACTTTAGATACATGAATCCAAAGTGTGTGTGTGACGAAGATTGATGGTTCATGTGGGAAATGCTTTTATTTATTTATTTTTCTACTCTATAGTTAATTCATCAGTGAGGGAAGCAATGTTGTTTTCAGCAGAGAGATCAAGGGAGCTGCTATTTATATTAAAATACTTTGTGCTTCGATAGTGCAAGCAGCACTGCTAATGGTCTTTTCAATTCGGTAGTGAGATCAAGGCAACTCCTATTTAAATTATAATAAATAGTGCTTGTATAGTGCAAACTGCCCTATATAAGGACAATGAGCAATGCGGTTATCTGGATATAATTTGGAATTGCCAGGGTCTCACTAAAGAACTTCAAGGTATTATTAATCACTACTGCCACTATTTTTTTGCCTTTTTTTGGTTGGTTTTTTTTGACTGAAGTGGGTGCCAATTCTGCCATGATTTACACACATATGCTGTATGTTCTTCAGTACTCCAGGTTGTTTCTGTTATGTACTTTGATTCCAGCACAAGCAGACTCAGGACACAAGACACTACTGCAATACAAATGAGTTAAAAAGTAAGACATGCACCACCACTCATTTTTTAGAGATTTATATGCATATATGGATATAAAAATAAATCTATGTGTATGGCAGGCAGAGATTAATATAGGTACCAAGTGATCTCCTGGAATCTCCTCACCAGGCATTGTGAAGACCACAGCAAGTACAACATGAAGTCCAAGAGCTACCATCATAGAACTCTGCTTGGTAACACTGCTCCACCTCCCTGGCCACACACACTCTACCAGCTCTTACTCTTCTTGAATATCATCAGTTTATTTTCTAGATAGACTCTATTTACTTCCAGAGGGGAAAAAAAATCATAGAATCATAGTACAGCATTCCTGTTCACATATGCATCCAGTTGTGCTGTTTCACAGCTTCTGAGGCTTTTTTTAATGCACCAGTTCTCCTGGTTAAATTGTCCAAGCAACTACAGAGCTGTTTTGTTTCCTCCTCTGTGCACAGCTGATGGAGTGGAATGAATTTGGTCATACCAAGACCATTCCTGTTGCCATTATGGACGCAATACTAGAGGACTATCCAGGGGTCAGACTGACTCCCAATTTCTGTCTAGTCAGCTGATGGGAAGAGCAGGCTGCTGACTTTTTGGCTGGGAGAAAACACTGCTTCCTTCAGTGATTTCAACGGCTGCTTGTACCATTCTGCTGTAGTCACCTCATCTGCCCCTTTCTGTTGGCAGCACTAGGCACTGACCTGTGTGCTTACAAATTGGCACCCTTGTGCAGACTTGCTCTCCAGCAACAATAAAAGAGGCTTCTCCATGCTTCAGGCCTACCGGCTCTGAACAGGATTATTCTCCTGTGTACAGTGAATTTTGCCATGTTTGTGTTAATTTTGCAAAAAACAAGGTGCATTGGAAGGATGTTTCCTCTTGCCGTGAGAGGAATGATTAGGACTGCAGGTTTCCAGGAAACAGCAGAGAAAAGTGTGCATGTTTTAATGCTGAACTAATGAAAAAGTTTCTGGAAAAGTGAGATGATGGTTGTAGGGAGGTGAAAAGCCAATGTACATACACAAACCCAGTGCTTGGGCCTGCTCTTGTATAAAGATGCCATGGAATTTAGGGGCATCAAGCTGATTTATGGCACCTGAGGGCACATTTTGCAATCCCTCTACCCCAATGCTAGAGATCACTCCATTTAAAATCCACTGTTATCCTGAGAGAAACACATGCCAAGTATATCTCTTATTTTTCAATATTACACAACTGAGAAAGAAAACTGTACTGGCAATAGCTTGGGTGGACCTCAATGCGTTCTCTTGTGGTCAGCTCTGGACACTTCAGGAAAACAGAGGCAAAACAGAGTTCAGAGAAAAGCCATAAAACAAATCAGAGTCTGAAGGAATTGACTTCAGTAGAAATAAGAGCAGATGAATTAAATAAGTGATTAAATGGGTGATACATGAACTAAACCCCTACATGATAAAAAATCTTACAAGTCTTTAAAAGGTACAAAACCAGGGATCAGAAAGGAGGAGGAAGAGGATAAAGAGAAGCTGTGTGAAGTGTGCTAATGGAAGAAATAAAGAGAAAGCAGGAATATAAAATGAATACCACCTTTAAAAATTACCTCTAAGCTATGGAATAGTTTTGCAGTGGTAGAGGAGAAAGCTGTTATTTGTGACATATTAATCTAGAATTGACAAAGCACTGAAACATGCAGTCTCATACAGCCCTAGACTGGCCTGGAGACAGACTGGATGACATAACTTTTACATCTGTAACATCTATTACACTGTGCTGTGGGGTTTGTCTTTGAAAGATGGTGCTCAGCAGTACACAAATCTATGGGGAATGGAGAAGTATAACAGATAAATGGTTTCATTCATATTTTCTCAGAAATTATGCTCTCCTGTGTAGGTTTGGAGCCATATTTTCCAACACATTTCTTCTCGGGTAACAGGATAAAAAGTCAATGCTAAACTGCACTGAAGTTAATCTACTGGAGACCTCTGTGAGATCTCAATGTACCTGTGGTATATTACAGTGAACAAACACACACACATACAAGCCATGCTTAAAGGAAGAGCCAGCACTCTGTGTTTCTCACCTGCAGTTCCAGAGAGTTCCACACTTAAGGTTTGTTCAATAGTCTTGTTCTCAAATGGGGAACCCTTGGGATCACTGGAAGACAGGGCACATTTATAAAAACAAGCTGAAATGGAGTTGCTGTAGCCAAAATCTACTGAAGCCCCCTCCCTTTTATAAATGTTTGCACTTTTTAGTACTTACTTTGGTGACTCGGGCGTCAATGGAAGTGATAAACTTGTTGGTTTGGCTACAGGAAAAAAGAAAACAATTATAGCATATTTAAATACTCTGTAATGTATGGTATAAACAATTCTTTTTATTTTGGTGCTGGAATCCTGTGGTAGTCAGTTAGGGTTGAGCTCAGATAGTTCAATAGTCATTTCAGTGTATCTTAGATAGATAAATAATGAGACTCATCCTGATTCCTTATTACCAGTACCAAAAGGGCACATAAATTTCAACAGTTATTTACATCAATTACTGTACTTTGAAATACAGTACACAACCCAAATGCCAAGAACCTTTCAGAAGAAGAGTGCTATATGTTAAAAATCAATGACGAACTCTGCAGGATACAGAATGAAAATGTTATTTCTCTTAGAGTTAATTTAGACTACAGTTCACGTTTTATTTGGAAACAGGAGCAGCAGAATAACTACAAAGTAACAGAACGTTATGAATATTCAGTTAATTTTACTTCTACAATATACAGTTTTATATATAGCACTGAGAATAGGTTGTTTCTATGAGGCCAGAGTCCAACCAGTTATAGTCCAAATTTCTGCAAATTATCCTGCAAACTACGACAAACCATGGACATAGTCACAGATGGTTAAAAATGGGGTTGAAGCTCTCAGCAACACAATCCCAACATACTTACAAAACAAAGCTCTGGCTATAAAAATACAAGTCTTCGTAGCTTTTATTCATGCAAAATTGTCTTTTCACTAAGCAAGCCAAGAATTAGGATAGTGTAATGTAACTAAGATTCCTTTAATTGTCAGGGAAATGTTTAAAATTAAAAATCATAAGGATAGTGTAATATAACTAAGATTCCTTTAATTGCCAGGGAAATGTTTAAAATTAAAAATCATATTACTTGCAAATTTTACTTTTCAGAAGTTAGATTTGAGCACAGAGAGCATTGTAGCAAGAACAACAGCAGGGGATCTCTTCTGCAGATTAATTACTTAAGACAAAATGTTACCCTTGAACAATCCTGCACTGCAGATCTTTTGTCCAGAGTGTCACTACTGCGTATTTCATATTCATTCCAGGCTTGGAGCTCCCATCAACATTAAAGGATTTTATATGCAAATTGATTACTTTTATAAGCTCTAGAGCATTCCTGAAGTAATACTACAGTTTTTTAAAAAATTAACTCAATTCTCAAGAGCTGCATATTGTTTCTCCTCCTCCTCATATGAAAGTTAGAAATGGAAGCTCAGGTGTTCACCTCGGGTTCACCTTCCTCAGAAGTCACTGCCAGAGTGAGGAGATGCACCTCAACGAGTTATTTGTCTGATCCAGCACTGCTGCTGATTTGTGCATAAAACCAGGTGCAGCAAAACTGAATGCAACCTGACACATTTTTCTGTGTATTTTATACACATCTAGGGATAATAATGTTTGCCAGTGGCTACCTAGAGGTTAAACTGGCTTTAAAACAACAGACCTTATAGCAAGGCTCTGGAATAAATTTCATACCAAGGCTTCCACTTTTATTTTTTTAATAGAAATAAAAATCTACATACTCTTACCAGTTTAGGCTACCTAAGGAAGCTGAATGTATAAGGGTTATTTAAGCTCCTAAAAAGTCTCATTCTAGCTCTTATTAGTCCCACATCAAAATATACACATATTAAATTCTGAAGCACTGAGGCACAGTGCAAATCTGCCAGAGATGGGCACAGAACCAAGGTATTATCTCACACTTGCATGCATTAATTTTAGGCAGATATCACTGAGCTCTCCCACTGAGAAATTCGCATACCAAAACACCCATCAGTTTTCTTATTGCTAGGCAAGGGCTTGACCAAACACACTTCCTGCAAAGGATTCATCCTCACATACAGCTATTGATAGAGTAAATATTTAGCCAAGACACTATCATTTTCCATGGAGCCTGTTTATTAGAGTTTCAAGGTCTACTGTGGTGTTTTTTCTTATTAAAAAGGGTTCACATCAAGTTGCTTGTCCCTGTAAATTGAAAACATTCAGGTTCAAAAGAACTAAGTCTCCTCGTGGGCAAATTTCAGTGCAAAACCACAGATGATCTTTGGCATGAATGCGTTTGTGGACATTCCCGTGGGTTTGCAATATGTTTGCAACAGTAACCCTAAAGGAAAATAACGTTTGACTTATCCTTCGTGAGCTTTCCCTAACTTTGAAAGAAAACATCAGACCCTGATTATTTTTTAAACCAGAAGGAGACAACTTTCTTGTACCTTTGATTAAATGTATGAACAAATGACTGCAGGTCTGCAAATATCACTTAAATTTGCAGGGTTGATTCTGCATGAATTGACTGTCCAAGCTGAAAGCATTATATTCTTCTATTTGTATTAAATGCAAATCCATTGATATTGAAGTCATATATTGCTGTGTGAGGCAAATTTGCTGAAAAAACAACATTTCAGAAGCCTGTAAATTAAGTGCAGGAGTTAAAGAAGAGAGAAATTTCTCTCTGCCTGCAATTTCACCTGCAATACCACTAAAATCACAGTCATCTGTTAAACACTGCTAAGTTAGCTATATGTCCCTTTGGACTTTTCCTAACCTCTCCTTCTGCACTGTTTCCACAACCCAATGTGCCCTGACTCTTTGAATTGAATCTACACAATTGTTTCAGCTGGGGAAAAAGAGCAGGTCTGATATGAATAGAAAGATTTATGTGTGTGTGCATATACCATGTTCTATATAATACACCTTATCACCTACCACCCTAACTTCCAGCAGTGTTGCTAAAGACCCCTGTAACTCCTGGCAGTTCTGTGTTTGAGTATGATTGCAGTTTTTTACACCTACAGTTCAGTCTGGATTCTGCTGTGAAGCAGACTGCTGAAGCCATCCAGAAGGAGTGGCAGTTGGCATCAAGAAGCTCTAGGGCCAGTTAGATTTCTTTCTTACCAGAAATATTGTTCAGATAATTTGAGACCATAATGGAGAAAAACCATACTTAGGATGTCAGAATGTACAGCTGTGAGAACGGTATTTAGTGGTGGGAAGATTAATTTTATTAAGTTTTTTCATACTTCCTAGTGCATGGTGAAAAAATAGATTTGGTGGAGGCTTAAAAAGCAGAAGGAGGGATGGTAAAAAGAAGAAAAACCATATACAGTTTACAACTGTTGCTTTAAAAATACCAGAACAACACATTTAGGGTCATATCCTGATCTCTATTGCAGCCAGAGAACTTCCACTGACTTCAGTGGAGTCATCCAGAATTTGCACTGATGTGACTGAGATAGGCAGTTGGCCTTCCAGATGCCAGGCCAATATAAACACATAGATGTATTTTAAAGTAACAGTAACTTTAAAAAGCTCCCTTTGGGCTCATATGCTTTTACAGCTTTCCTTTATCTTGGGAAAACACAGGGGAAAAGAGGAGGAGAGAGAGAGGAGGCTTTAAGTTGTTGCATCTCTGTCATAGAAGCTACTTGTAATATAGACCAGTTCTTTACACATTGGGGGATACTAAAAGTCAACACAAGTGTTTAGTTTTGGCCATAAAGAATCAAAAAACTAGAGAGAGAGAGAGATCAGGATGGCTGCTAAACTTTCAACTATTTACAAAATAAAATTACGAACTGGCATTCCAGCTTTAACAGGAATGACACGTTTATTGCTTTCTCTGTAGCAGTGAGAGCACTATTTATTGTCTCTTAAGGACTATATGGCAGGTTAACAATGCCTTCAGTTTTACACTAGCAAAAAAAGAAAGAAACTCGCTAATGAACTGGCCTGCCCAGCTTGTTTAGGGGTATAATGATTTCTTAATGGTACAGGACTCTGTGAATACACAGCTTCAGCTAGCTTGGTATGCTACTATGTAGTATTAGTTAAACTTTTTTCCCTGAGAGTCTTTTTCTGAGGCTGGGTACAATAAATACAGGATTAAAATTGTCTAAAAGCTAAATCTAGCTAACTAATTCTAACTTCATTATACTGTTTTAAAATTCTCTCTACACAGAAGAGATGCTGGATTTACAATACTAATCCAAAGAACAGAAGAAGTATCAAGGGTATTCCCAACAACGGTATTTCAGCTTCTCTGTGTTACTGCTTGTACCAAAGTTGTATTCTGAGGTCTCACACCTACCTTGCAGATGATTTGTCTGAGACTGCAGATGTGGCTTCCTTTTGGAGATGCATTTCTCTTTGCTGCTGTTCCTGTTCTCTGCTGGTTTGGTCTGAGGAGGGTCATCATTCGTAGTCAGATATTTGAGAAGCTCAGAGCAGGGACGTCTTTGAGGCTTTTGCTGTTGACAAATGCTCTTTGCTTTATTGCTCCATGAATTCTCAGTCTTAAAAACAGGGCAAAATAAAATAAAATAAAATAAAATAAAAGCTAAAATTAGTGAGCTGAACCTTATCAGAATGGATATAGGTTTTCTGAAGAGATGAGGTTTTCAATGAAGTGTTCAGTCTAAGTGCACTAGATCTATGAGCTGTGAATAACTGTTTGCAGAACAAGGAAAGAAAATTACATTTAAAATTCCTAAATGACATTTATGCAGCTTTTTATTTCATTTCTCCTACATTGCAATGTTCCTACTCAGCAACATGTAACTAACAAGACCCTACAGCGCCTTTACTGTGAACAAAAAAATAAGCTGGTTTAAACCTTAATTTGCTGCTGATTGCTTGAGCCCAGTATTCACAACTCTCTTAAGTACCCCTAAATGTTCAGTTTTCAGTTACAGTGAATGGCAAGACAAACATTGTTTAATACTGCCTGCTAACAGAATTATGTCAGAGCCCCCCATTCTACCCAATTAATGTCTAATACACATCTTTTGCCAGGAATACAGTGTCATTTGTCTTAGCTCAGACAGCTGGTAAAATGGCAGTCTCACATCCTGGAGTCACTCATAAACAACACCAGCCCATCAGCAAATTTTAGCACACCCCCTACTACTCTGTGTATTGGTAAAGTAGGCAAGAGTAACAGACGGTGGGACTACAACTGAACTCTGCCAAGAGAAAAAAAGCATAAATGAAATATTCAGAGCATAAAGGAGCTCAGGTGATTTTTCTGGAACCCAGTCTACAATCCATTCACATTTTTTAAAAGCAATTACAAGATAATAGGCAGATTAATACAATACATCCAGATCTACTGTTTGCTTGGTTGCTGAAAGCAGAAGAGACCTGGTTACAATTTCTTCTCTTTTTCCCCTTTTTCCTTATTATAAAGATTAAGTTTGTACCTTAACAACCACAGGGCTTGTTCTGATCCTGTGATTAGTGTTTGCATGGTTTTGTGTGCTGAGACCACTGCATTCATTGTAATTTAGCTGAGTGTTGGCTGGAGCCAGCAAGAGCTTCTTAAGCTACAAACACATCAGGGAAAGGGAAGTGGAAGAAGAAGAGTAAAGTTATTCATCTTTCTGGATTAAAATGACTTATTTACATTTTTGCATAGTTACATAAAGTTAGCTATATCAATTTCAGCATGCAAAGTATAATAAAACAGAAAGCAGGACTTGATACTCCTCAGAGTAAGCAAACAGATTTCATTTTCTTCTAGCACATTTCTGCTCCCTTTACTGCAGTATACTGTGGGGCAAGCAGAAATTACAGGGATCTTGGATTTCTGAATCTATGGCAAAATGAAATTCTTGGCGATCTGTTTGACAGAAGAGGCCTCTAATGCAGACAGAGATGTTAACTTTAACAGACTAATGGATACAGCGTCGAGACGCAGGTATCTGGCTCTGTTCCCACACAAGCCAGTGATAAGGGGCTTTCAGCAGAAACAGAATCACATCTCAAACTAGATTTACTGAGCAAAATGAATATAATGTTACACCCACATCCTCACCTAAGGTTCAGTTTTGCCCTGGTTCACACTAAGCTGGTGCTTACTGGTCAAATCAGTCTTAAAGGCACAAAATTATCCGCACATCCCACTAGACTCACTGAGCCTTTCTTTACAGATCAGCAAAAATTATGTCTAAACATAATACATAAGAAAAAGAGCCCCAAGAAATGAAAGATGAATTAAGAACCATTACCCTGACTTATTTGAACAGAATGATAAGCAAAAGTGTCAGCCCCATTAGCACAAGAATCTCAAAACCAATCTTTTCAACAACTTTTTAATAGACTGCCACATTAATCATTCTATGGCTATTTGGTGGGGTTTTTTCCCCTGCTCAATTTTCAGCTCTTTACTTGATTTTCCTCTCCAGCCTAAATGAAAAGTCCAGACCTTACTGTGACTACATCATACCCATGCAGCGGGTAGCCAGAGGCACATCCAATTCCTGTTAAACAGTAGGAAGGGTTCTTACTAGAGACGGCTCTTCTGCCTCCTGAGCTGGAGGGGTGCCGTCGGGCATCGGGGAAGTGCTAGCGGCATTTTCGTTGGTCACATCTCCATCTGTCAGTGCATCAAATGAAGGCAATCCATCCTCATCCACAGGGATGCTGTCCAGTGTTTCAGTGAGAACAGCTAGCAAGTTTGCCTCGCTCTCTTCATCTATCTTCTGCAGGAGAGGACAAAACAAAAAGCGGAACCAGGTGAGAAGAGAGAAGGAACAAAACAATGCCTGTGTATGTGAAAAAGCAGACAACACACAGTTAGACCAGCCTTTGAAAAAGTAACCTGCAAGAGAATCTCTGAAGATGTAATTAAGTGAAATAAAATGATCTATCTCTGTTCAAGAGAAATCTCTTTGCACTCGTGGTGTATTGCTAGTTTACTTTTCTTCCACAATTTTTTTATCAGGTGTTAACAATGATAAGTAACCCCCCAGGGATTGTATTACAGGATGTGCCTAAGATGCTGACACCTAATGATGGTGTCAGCCCAGGCTGTCTCTTCCTTTCTCTTTTCAACACTGAACCCCAGCTAATTGACCTGACAAAATTACAAGAATCGACAACTAATCAGGACACCAAAAGGGTTTTCCCTTCCAGACTTGCTCCAAACTCGAACAAATTCTCATACCTGAGTGTTCTGGCCTAAGCTTAGCTGGCAGGACTCATATTGTAAATGGCAAGCTGTTTGGGTGTCTTTTAAAGCAATGTATTAGGCAGGTTGCCTTTGAAGTTGTCCTTTCAAGTTATGTCATTTGAGTGCTCAATGTGCTATTGTATGCATTTAGCTAATTCAGACTGCAATTATAAAAAGTAGATTAATTCCTAATCAGATGTGGCTGCAATGTTAATTTATATCTTATTTCAGCAACAAGAGTTCTTTTTGTCAAACTGAGTAAATTTAAGTGCCTTCCGAGTTTTTAATGAAATATAGTCCCTACTGTATATTAAGGTACAGATTTTTTTGTGGCACTGAGAGTTCTGAGCAGTAGAACTGTGTAAAAATCATTATATTTATTTTTCAGAAAGATTGGAAATTGATCTTGACAGAACAATTATCTAGGATTCCTAGGCTGATCCTGGTGCTATTAAAGTAAATGAAAAGCCTTTCACTGATTCTAGGGATATCAAATTGGCAGTTTTTCCACCAGCTTCAGGGTAGCTCATCATGCTCCAGGTTCACATTGTGAAAAGATTTCAGCTAAGTTCAAATCTCAAAGTTTAAAAGTGAACTAGCAAGACAAATAGTACCAGTAAGACAAACAAACAAGTGGGGGGGAAAAAAAAAAAAAGAAGTTAAAAAAAGCAACAACAAAACATTGCCAAGTTACATCTCAGAAAAAAAATAATCAAGTGAATCTGGGTATCCCCTTAGCATGATTTTTTTTTCAGTAATACTTTTATCTAGCAGACTCCTAACAGAGATGATCATAAACCACACAGATAATTGCTCCTGCCAGGCTTCTTTGCCAAATCACACCTCACGGCTTCTAACATAAAAGCTGTCTTTGACTAGGAAACTACAGCAGAGCACAAACTGTTCTGGTGCTTAAAGCATCATCTCCAAGAAACAAACAAACACTCAGGAAAGCTAGTGCTAAGGAGAAGCATTTACTTAAAAGGCCAAAAGGCACTTGGCCACTGAGAAAAAGAGTCCAAGTTCTGGTATCAGGTGACTTCCACCATACCAAGCAGACATATGCACAGAGCTGTGATAATTCAATGTGCAGAGGGTGGAAATGACAGAGGGGAGCCACCTTGCGAATAAAACCATGCACCGAATCCAGCTTTCTGAGAGGAAAAGAGGAAAATTATGGTTCACTTCTAGAAAAGTAAGAGAAGGCATCATTGTGCAAAAAAAGCACTTTGCAATGTAACAAAGTGCCAGTGTTTCTTCCTAATGGTATTTCAAGCCCTTCCCAGGTGCTGGGATGAATGCTGTGAGAGTCAGCACTCAATGTTTGGGTGGCAGTGAAGGGGTTTGACTGCCCAACCCTCAGCTCCACACCAGGTACTTCTTCAGCAAGTCTAGCTGGTGGGGCACA